CTCTCTCTCACACACACACACACACACACACACACACACACACACACAGAGTCTCATGGAGCCCAGGCTATCTTAGAATTCCCTCTGCAGTCCAGACTTGCCTCATATCCAGAGAGACCTTTCTGGTGCCCCAGCCTCTCAAGTGCTGGAGTCAGAGGCTCGGGTTACCTGAGCACTACTCAAAACTAGGTCAAATGTCATTTTCCCGACAAAGCTGAGGATACCAGATGGAATTGCTCTGCCCATCTTGTTTGTCTCTGTGACACATTATTGGTATCTGTTTTGATATTTGTCATGGATTACTCTTAACTGTACATGGTGGAGAGGTCTGCAGAGGTAGCTATACATTGCTGGGTTATAAGCATCTTTAGAAGTGCGATTTTCTTCAAATGCACTTAGGATATGATGAGATGAAAATTAGGAGGCTAAAGAGGCTCCTGCTTCATCTCAGAGAATCATGTCTTTGTTGGAACCAAAATTACATTATTGTTTTAAAGGGACATAAAAGAAGGTCCCTCAGACCTAAAAGGACTCAGCAATCCTTTTCAATATTTCTTTAACAAGAACCTGTTTTTAAAACCATAAATCAAGCTGGATGGTGGTGGTGCACAACTTTAATCTCAGCACTTGGGAGACAGAGGCAGGCAGATCTCTGTGAATTCCAGGTCAGTTTGGTCTACAAAGCAAGTTCCAAGATAGTCTGGGCTGTTACATAGAAAAATTTTGTCTTGGAAAACATACCAACACCCCCCACACACACACACACAAACAAACAAAAACCAACCAAACAAACAAACAAAACCCAATCCCTAAATTAATCTTTAATGTGAGAAAGATTAAGAATTTCTTTGAACTCAGTATATTTTTAACATGTTTACTTTTTGAGATGAGTCTCATTCCATAGCCCAGGCTGGCCTGAAACTTACTATGTAGCCCAGGCTGTCATAGAACTTGCAGCAATTTACCTGTTTCAACTTCCAAATGTGACTCACCATGTCCAGCTCTTTTTTTAGGGGGGGGGTCGAGACAGGGTTTCTCTGTGGCTTTGGAGGCTGTCCTGGTATTAGCTCTTGTAGACCAGGCTGGTCTCGAACTCAGAGAGATTCACCTTCCTCTGCCTCCTGAATTCTGGGACCGCCTGGCTCACATCCAGCTCTTAATAAGTATCTTAATCACAAGTGGAAATGCCGCTACTTCATACCATGGCCAGAATCAACAGCATGACCCAAGACCCTTAAACTCAAGAAGGTGCTTCCCAATAGACTAAATATTTTAATAAAGGAGAAAAAAAAACATTGTTGAACAATAAAACAAACAAAAAAGGAAGAAAAAAGTAGTGCAAAAGTAGAAAACAAATTCATTCAAAATCAGTATACAGCCAAGTATTCACACTGCAGTCCCAATCAGCTACTTGGGAGCAGAAGATGAAGGATTTTGGTTTAGTTCCAGGCCAGCCTGGGCTACAGAGTGAAAGCATGTTTTAAAAAAATGAAAGAAAGAAAAAGAAAGGAAAAAAAAAACAGTATACATTACATAGTAATAAAAAAAAGAAAAACTCAGAAAATGTCACTAACATCAAGGAAAGCATTTGTATAATAAATTTTAATTTAAAAAGTAGCATTTATAATTTCAAGATCCTTTACCTTGTAGCGTTCAAATGACTAGACATGGTTGGGGAAAGAGAATAACTCTGAGTTTCTCCTCCAAGATATTTCAATATGTTCGAGTGACTGTGGGGCTTAACAGGTGGGGTTAACAGTTGCGGAAGTAAAGTAATCCTCCGGGGCTCTGTTGAGAGCCCACATCTACACGTGTTCTCTCCCGTCAGTGCCTAGGCACATGCAGCAGGTGTTCCTACATCTGACACAATTAACTCCATCCAGATCCATGACAGCCAGATCCCTCACCCTTTCCCCAACCTTTTCCATGTCACTGCTGCCATAGCCCCCCTCTTGATGGATCTGGCTCAGCATACAGACACATGGGAATCAAAGCATCAATGTGAATTTCAGTCTTACTGGGTTCCAATTCAAATCTATCTATCTATCTATCTATCTATCTATCTATCTATCCAACTATCTTTCTAGCTATATATGTTTATATCTGTTTATATATATGGTACATATATGAATATATGTACCTGTTATCATTCATATGCCTGGTATGTATATGTCTCTCTAGAAAGCTTTCCTTTGTATCTAGCTAATGCTCAAACTGATATATAATTGCTCAGATGAAAACCACTAAGTTCAGGCTTGGTGTGGTGGAATGGGCCTGCAATCCCTGGCATGTCAGAGGGACAGAAGGATCAGGAATCCCAGGCCAGCCAAGGCTAAAGAGACTCTGTCACAGACAAATGAATAACAACAACAAAAACCCACCCAGTTTTTACCACCTCTTTCACACACTGCAGAATGGTCCGTGGGAAATACACCTTTCAGCCAGGAACCATCTTTACTGCTTTCTACTTCCCAAGGCCCCTCAAGGGCACTGAGGCAGTGAGTGAGTGTTTTTGTTACATAAGCATTTAAATACTACACTCAGCATGTGTGTAATCTTGAGAAAACAATATACATTTTCTGGATGATAATTTCCTTTTCTTTCTTTTTTGAGACAGATTTCAAGTTTACTATGCAACAGAGGGTGACCTTGAACTCCTAATCTTCCTATTTGTACTCTGCCCATTTATTTGTTGCTGGGGATCAGACTAAGGACCTCAAACATGCTAGGCAAGTACTCCACCAACAGAGCTACACTTCAACCCCTAATTTCTTTTTTTCAAAAATAAAGGTATTAATATGCCTTGATTTCAAGGAAAATATAAGTACTTGAGGTAATATATGCCAGTGGGTACATCAGGGAGAAACTCATTGAATAGTTACCACCAGGCATGGTGGCCCATGGCTGCAATTTGGAAGGCTGAGCAGGAGACTCTCAAGGTTGAAGCCAAGCTAGGCTGCATAGTAGTGGCGTTTCTCAAAGAAAGGCTAGGGGGAAAAGTGTGTGTGTGTGTGTGTGTGTGTGTGTGTGTGTGTGTTGGGGTTGGTGGTGGTTCTGATGAAACCAGCAAAAATGCAGAGGAAGGGACAGATGATGGAACCCCCTTCCTAAATACCTTCCATATATTTTAATTTCTCATCAAGGCTAGGCTGAACCTGACTGTAAGCCTTTCTCTAGGACATATTAAAAGCTGGGACACAGTAAAGATAACCAGCAATGAGGAGTGGGGGTATTCATGGGCATTACTTAATATTCGAGTTTCTTGTTCTGCGCTGACATACCTGGGGAAAAGACATCTCATAGTAGTAAATGCAATGTGTTCGGGGAAGTTAGGACACAATTCTTTTCCACTTACACTCACAAAGCGGGGTCAACAAACCATGAGTGTTTCATAGAGCTAATACTGAGTTCCCAGTATGGTGGCGGTTCTCAAGAATTTTGTTTCCTCTGGCAATTCTGGTAACTGAAATAAATGCTAGATCAAGAACAAACACCCAGATTCTTTGCAGTGTCAGTCAGAATTCACAGTCAAGTCAAGTCCAGTAGAGCTACAGTTTGAACTGTCCAAAGTATAAGGAAGAAGGAAGTCCAGCCTACCCGGACATGCCCTGAACGACATGGTCATTTAAAACCTGCCTAAGATACCATTCTGTTTGCAAACATGAACTACCCGCCATATCACTCAGCAAAATAATTCCACTGAAGAGCCCGAAGGCAAATGACTCATGTTAAAAGTGTCCCATGTATCCTTTTGGAGATGACTCCATAGGCATCAATTAAACATGGAAAAGACGTGTTCTAAAGCATGGCCATCTGGCATTTCCCAAGGAGCTGTAGTTAAGGGCCAGTAAAACAGAAGGAATCGTAACTGTAACAAGATTTTGCAACCTTTCCCTTGTTCAGCCGCAGTGAGGGCCCATGAGGACAATGATCCTGGAAGAGCTCCAAAAGAAGAGGTTAGCCAGGCAAAACCTGCATCAGAAGCCAACATGCCTCTTCCCCATGCATAGAAAGCAGATGGAAGTGGCATGAGGTCATCTTTTAAGGCAGAAAAAAAGCAGGGAATGCTCGGGAGTTTGCCTGATAGTCTAAAGGTGAACTTTATTGCTACTTGTCCAAGAAAGAGAAAGGACTGGCCCACCCTTTGCTCCTTGGGTGCTTTCTAAGACCCAGCATCATCGGACTTCATTCACCTCACCAAGTCAAGCTCAGTGTGGTCTCAAAATCCTTCCTAGGATAACTACATTTTAAAACACTTTTGGTGGAAAGATTAACTAATTACATGAGAGTGATGTCAAGCTTGAAAGTCTCTATCAGGGAATGCAGCAGGAGCCAGAGGTGCTTTTCAAGGCTACAGTTCTAGATCAGCCAGGCAAACACCTGTGTATATATAGACAAAGCTTCAAACACCATCACTTCATCACACCTAATGACTGCCTGTGAGGACAGCTTGCATCCTCTATTTCTGGCTTTTTTTCAACAACAAAACAGTGTGCCTTCATATTCAGCCTCGACTCTGAACCTACTTTCTAACATTTATCTGATTTTTTTTTTACACAAGGTCAGATAAATGAGAAAAGAAATTTTTCTGTTTTAATTTTGATCCAGAGCTAAGATTGTTAACGACTTTTTAATCCATTATCCTTGATCTCTCCAGTTTTTCCTTAAATGACTCAAGTCAATGAGCCCTTCACATACTCGGGGCTCAATATTAAGAAGGCTAACATTCTTAGACTGAGGCTGTATGGTATAAACAGAATAAAAACAACAAACAACAGTGCCATGACTCCATTCTCCCGACTGCCCCCTTTGCCAGTGATGCTGTCTGCCCAACTCTCTTTAAAGCAGCTACCCGCCTATTAAGTTTTTTTATTTGGAAATAAAAGAGATAGCTGACAATTATTGTTTTTCAACACAACAACAAACAACCCAGCCCATTCACCAACACTAAAAATGGCAGAATTAAACAACAGTGTGAACAAGTAGTTATAGACGAATACCTGGGATTGCCAGATTGGAAAGGGGGACGTTGTGGAGGTGAGGGGGGAGCGAGGCCATCCAGTCGGCATTGCAGACCTCCGAGGCCGCCTTTGTCCCGCTGGGATTGGGAGAGCAGATGGTCCCCATCCTGAGTTTCCTCCTGGCCTTTCTAAATGCTAGCATCCCTCTTGTCCACGAATTAGACAGGCTCAGCCCAGTGCCACTCACTCTGTGATCATCACCGCCCGGGGCTCTCTAGACATTTCCGAGCCACATGGGTCACGCAAGCCTTTTCAAGATGCTTTTCGGGCTCGGGGATGGGTTAAATAGGTGCTTCCCTACCCGCTGCGCCCGCAGTCCCCACCCTCTCCGCCTCGCTTCTGAGATCCACTCCTTTAATCTCCTCAGTGTCCCTGCTCAGTTAAACTTCTTAGTTCCCCTCTGGAGACGGGGGAGGCAGGCCCGAAGATACAAACCTCACTGACACCCACAGCATCCAGGAAGAGCCACACCCGCAGCTACTCACACGACAGGTGCCCACAGGGGATAGAGACATGCCAGCGGGCTGCACACACGTGCGCGCCCGGGTTGCACCATCTCTAGTTCATGGGTGCTTCCGTGGGTGTCCCTGGGCTAGTACACAGGCCGGGCCTGCCTGCCACCCGCCCCCTGGCTTCTCTGCCCCCTGCCCTGTGCTTTCCTGAAAGGCTCTCAGAAGAGTAACCGGCGGCCCCGGGACTCCGGCGGCCCCGCCCCGCACTGCCGGGCAGATTTGCCAGGCTAGGCGAGCTGTGATTGGCCGCTAACTGGGTACGCTCTGATTGGTTAACGCCCCGGGGGCCCGCCCCTGTATCCCTCTCCCACGCCTCCCTGCCTCTTAGCTCCTCCCGGCTCCACTCCAGCCTCTCTGCCTGTGGGCAGACCGCTCAGCGGCCTGCTGTTCCCCAAGGGGAAATGTGCACTGCGGCCGGCTGGCTTCAGATTGATCTTTCCACCTAGGTCTTCGACGCGACCACAAATAGTTAGTTAGCCCCCTTTCCTCCGCCTTGCCCTCGCGGTGGTGAAAATTACCCAGAAAGCACTCCATTTTCCGCAAACCACCAAAGCAGCTGGAACAGGAGAGCCAGAGAGGCCGAGAGAGGTGCGGCGGCTCATATTTGGATGGGAACTACGGTTTGTGTTTGAAACGTTGCAAACTGACAGTTCCCCTATACAGCCCGCTGCCGCCGGTCGGTGTCATTATTTCCACTTTTCAGAGGAGGAAATACTGGCGTTTTACATTCGTATTGCTGTTGTTAGGAACCTTCTTCTGAATTATTTGTCCCAGCTGCTTTTCACGGTATTACCACAATGCAGAAAGGGTTCTTCACAGTCTTACCACAATGCAGAAAGGGTTGCTGATAACACTTCCTTTTAATGGATGAAACAAGCCCGAGGCAGGTCACATGGGGCAGCCTTTGCAAACCTCATTTTGAAATGAGGTTCCCTAACCTGATCTGTAGAACACAGACCCACTTCTCTGCTGCCTGAAATGTTCCCACTCCAAATAGTACTTAACTGTAGCAGAGAATCTTATGACCTGATATGATTGCTTAGAATTTTTACTACATTCATATATCTTATATGTTTATCTGCCAGTGTGCACATGTGGAGTTCAGAGGACCGAGTTCTCCAGTTCACTCCTTCCACGATAAGGATCCCAGGGATCAGGTGAAAAAAAAATATCACATTTTAAAATAAAAAAACAATTTTTTTTTTGTAGGAAGGGCCCTATGAACTCAGGAGGGCCTTAAGGGAAAAGAAAACAGTGGCCAGGACTCACACTGCTAGAACACAAGAGGCTTGTGTGCAGAACCCTAGGCCAGCTGTCATTTAATCAGCAAATGACCTGACTTCATCTCTTTACCCAAAGGCCACCTCTACCACAGCCATAGCTGCTAATGCACAAAGATGCCTTTTGGCATACCATTTCTTCTTGGCTATTCTTAACATTTATTTAAACTAGCTTTACTGTATAAAATTACCAAGTCTCCATGGAGGAGTGTTGTTTGACAGTTCATTAGAAGAAAGTATATAATATTTATCTTGTATCTTCTGGTGTTTAAAGGGCATTGCAGCATATACTGTTCTTTTAACAATACCACAAGATCTTAGCAATATGTCAACTAGCTGTTAGACTCACCAAAATCTCCCCCACACGACAAAAAGCCCCTCAGGGGACTGCTATCTCAAGATTTGTTTTGGAAATTCCACCTTTCTGGTCTTCCTTTGAAAATGTATGTATGTATTTAATTCCCAGACAAAAACAGCTTTCTGGAAGCTAAGACAAACAAGATGTGTGCTTTAAATCCAGCTGTGAGGCATTCTTTGCAATGCCTCTTCTCCTGTAGTTTTTCTTGTTAATGAAGTGACAGGAGGAGTTCTTTTCGGAAGCCCTCCTTACGTGAAGCAGGGATCCTTGACTTATCCTGCAGAAAATAACTTCAGGACAAGTCTTCATGAAGCAAAGCCGGAATTTAATAAGATTGGAATAGGGCTGGCATGTAGCTCAGTTGGGGAGTGCTAGTCTAGCATGGACCAGGTCTTGGATTCCAACCCCAGCACCACATAACCAAGCATGATCCCAGCACGCCAGAGGAGGAAACAAGATGACCAGAAGTTCAACATCAGCCTTAGGGACACAGAGAGGTTCAGGATAGTCCAGACTTACTATGTAGCTTACATGGTGGCTAATACCTGTAATCACAGCACTGGGGAGAAAAGAGGATAATAGATTTAAATGCAGTCTAGTCTACATTAAATAAGACCCTATGTCAAGAAACTAAAACAAAGAAAGTGAGAAGGAAAGATGTAACAATAACTCTTTCCGCCAGCTGCCTGAGTTCTGCCGCCACGTTAGGGCCCCCAAACAACACACAGAGTCTTATGTTTGTTGCAATGCTGCTGACCATGACTAGGATTTCCCATTTTCTAGCTCTGTCTTAAGTATCAACCATAACCATTAATCTATATATTTTATAAGGACTTATCTTACCGAGGACGCCAGCCTTATGGGTCCTCTCTTCCTGGTGGTCACATGGTGACTGCCGTCTTTACTACATTTCCCAGTATACTCCTCGAATCCTAGACCCACCTATCTTGCTTTCCTATTGGCCAACAGTGCTTTATTTGTCAACCAATAAGACAAACATATACACAGAAGGACTTCCCCCATCAGAAATAGATAAAAGCATTTAGGAAAAAAAACAGTCTTATATCCCCAAAAGTGAGAGTGAATTTCTTAAGAGAGTCATACTTAAGTGCCCCTCTTTGAGATGAAGGTCCTATTATGTAGCCCACCCTGGTCTTCAGCTTCTGGCACTCTTCCTGACTCAGTCTCCTGAGTGCTGGAACCAATAGATGAGCCAACCCACTCACTGACTTTGGGTGACTTTTGAAGTTATACTACTCAAGGGGTTTAAAAGATCAAGCAAAATTGGTTTGGTATTTGTCTTAGGATTACTATTGCTATGGAGAAACACCTTGTCCTGACCCAAAAGCAAGTTGGGAGGAAAGGGTTTATTTGGTTTACACTCCCTCACTGTAGTTCATCACTGAAGGAAGTTAGGCAGGAACTCAAAGAGGTCTGGAACTCAGAGCAGGGAGCAAATGCAGAGGCCATGGAGGGATGCTGCTTATTGACTTGCTCAGCCTGGTTTCTTATAGACCTCAGAACTGCCAGCCCAGGGATTGCCCCACTCTCAATGGGCTGGGTCTTCCCCATCAATCACTAATTGGGAAAAAGTTTTACAGGCTTACCAGCAGCCCAATCTTATGAAGGCATTTTCTTAATTGGGGTTCCTTCCCCTCGCTTGTGCCAAAGTTGACCTGAAACTATCCAGCATAGGTTTCCTTTCTTTTACTTTTGTGTTTCCTTTTGTTTGATTGTTTTGCACATGTGTGTATTTGAATGTTTATGTGCACACACAGCTATAGATATAGGTGCAAGAGCATGTGGAGGCCAGAGTAACACCAGTGTACTCTTTGATTGCACTCCACTTTATTCATCCAGTTGGGGTCTCTTACTAGACCTGGAGCTCACTAAGTTCAGCCCCTGGTCTTGATAGACTAACTATATGAGGAAAAATATTAGTGAAAAACAGAGAAAGGAGATTTATTCAATGTAGCCATATACATTGGGAAGATGTACAAAGGGATCCTGTGACCTAAGTCCATTTTCAGGGTCCTTATGAGGGTTAGGCGTAAATAGAAGATAAAGAGACATGCATTACTAAGCAGTCCAGACAAGTTGCATGTTGTGCCCCATCCCCTTCACCCATTGTCTTGGCTCCATATTTCTCCTGCAAGGTTATCTGGACAATTGTCTTTTTCCAGATATGAAAATTTAATTTCTTGAGATCCATTGCTTCAGTAGTCTGATTGCCAAAGAGAGAGGTATCTCCAGGTATCTCCAGACTGTACTCATTTCTTCTAGGCAGGCTGGTTACAATCTTGGTTGTCTGTGTTCTAATATTTTCCCTTTTTTCTTTCCTCTATTCCCTCCATTTTCTTCCCTTCCTTTTTCTTTCTTCCCTCTCTCCCTCCTTTCCTCAGTCCCTCCCTCCCTCTTTCCCTCCATTCCTTCCTTTCTCTCTTTTTTTCCAGAAAGTGTCACAAAGAGCCAAACACACTCTAGAACTTACTGTGTAGCTAAATAGGACCTTGGACTCATGACCCTCTTGATTCCCCCAGTGTCCCACTCACAGGTATGGACCTCCACATCCAGCTTGTGAAGTTTTCTTGATTATCCCAAACCAGCAGGGATAAGGGTCTTGGATAGTGAGGTATTGAGTGGGAAAACTGGGGATCAGAATAGAGAAGATGAGAACTAAGGAGGACAAAAACAGTAGCTGGGCCCAGGAGATGTGGAATAAGCTGATGACTTGTGTCAAGCAAGGACATTAAAAGGTACAGCACCATTTATACTGTTTGCAGAGGGAAACAGTCAAGGTTAGTTGAGAGCTAAGCCAGGCAATGTTGGCAATGAGAACAAGGCATATTCCAACATAACTGCCTAAGGGTTGATAACCATAGCCCATAGGGAAGAGTTGGGTTCCCAGAAGCTGCATCCTTGACTCTAACTAGCTCCATCAACAGACAGGCCTTGCCAAGACAATTCCTGGACTTTGCCCTTTAATCAGGGCTTCGGTGAAAGACTCGGGTCAGCTGGCTCCTGACACTAGATTCTTGGTGACAAGTATAGGAAGCTGACTCCCTTCCCAGTTCTTTCACTTTCTCCTTTCCTTCTATCCTGCTTGAGAAAAATTGAGCATATTAAGAAAGCACCAATGATCTCCAAGTGGTGGACCATGCCTGTACTCCTAGCACTTGGGTGGCTGAATCAGTAGGCCTGAGAGTTCATGGTCAGTACAGGTCATGATGGGCTACAGTGGGAGAGATCCTGTTTCAAAAACAACAAAAACTATACTACAGACATTTTCAAACATAATTTTCAAATAAAAATTAGTATTCAAAAATTGAGTAGTTAATGTTTTCATGTTACTATGTTGTCCGAGTTGTCAAGGAGATAGGAAACTAATAGGAGGAATGAAAATTTAAAGTTAACACTAATGAATAATTACAACCAACTGGAGTGCTGACTATGTATAAATCATTCTGACAGATTTCAGGAATAGAAAGAAAGCTACATAACTCCCAGACAGTATATCATCAGAGAAAAAGGAGGGCTGGGGAGGAAGAAA